GCTGCCCAGCTTTTGCCACCACCTCCTCGCTTTCTGGCTGCCTTTGATGTCCCCTGTGGCATGCTGGGGACACATCTTGCTGCCTGCTGCGTTGCACTGGGGCAAGGAGGTGAATGGGAACAATTCTGGCAGCAGCCTGCAAATCCTAGGGCAGGCTCATTCCTTTCTGATTCCTGCTCAGGCTCATCCTGAAGTAGAATTTTCCCATGGTTTCACTCTTGATATAGGACCTGACCGCTGCTTTTAACTCCTCGAGTTTCATTAGCTGTAAAACACTCCTGTATTTTTCAGGAGCAGATCCCAGGGCACTTGCACGGAGTACATAAGACCTAGCATCTCTGGGCTTCTCACTCAGTATTTAGGAGGGTGTGCGTGGATCTCTGAACCAAAATGTGCTGTTGCCCCCCTTCCAGGGGCTCACGTATATATCGTGGCTGCCCCTGGTCTGCAGGTAGAGGAGGCTGTGCCTGCCTCCGGGCTGCAGCCACCATCCTGCTGCAATTCCCGTTCCAGGTCAGCACAGTGCGGATGCAAGGCGTGATCCTACTCGTGTTTGCCAAGTACTACCATCTCCCCTTCCTGCAGGACATCCAGACGGACTGCACCCGCACGGGGCTGGGCGGCTACTGGGTGAGTAGCGGTGAGGCTGGTGGCGGTGGTGCCTCGCTGAGGGCTCATGGCAGCTTTTTGGTGCAGGGCAACAAGGGTGGGGTGAGCGTCCGTCTCTCCATCTTCGGCCACATGGTCTGCTTCCTCAACTGCCACCTGCCAGCGCACCTGGAGAAGGCGGAGCAGCGCAAGGAGGACTTCGCCACCATCCTGCACATGCAGCAGTTTGAGGGACGTGCAGCCAGCGGCATCTTGGACCATGAGTGCGTACCCCGCTGCTTTTCTTGGAGCCCGAGCCAAGGCGGTATTGCTAGCAAGGCGTGGAGATTGGGTCTTGCATGCGGAGAGCTGGAAAATTGTCCCTTGGCGCAGTGGCTTTGCTGTCTGCTTCTGGTGGCCCTGGCCCTGGTAGCCCACTGCCCTCCCACCCCACAGCCTCGTCTTCTGGTTTGGGGACCTCAACTTTCGCATAGAGAGCCTCGATATCCGCTTCGTCAAGTACGCCATCGACAGCAACATGCTGAACCAGCTCTGGGAGAAGGACCAGGTGAGAGGGCTGGGTGTGCTGCTGGGCTGCGAGTGCTCCTTGGCCCTCACCAGAGCTGCCCGTGTGGCTGCGGGACTGCGCGTCCTCCTGCGGACACAGGGCACAAAGGGCCCTATTTCTCCTTGCTGTGTGGGGAACGGTGGGCATCATAGTCTCAGGATATTTGTCACTGGAGCTGCACACACATCAGTGTTTTCTTTACTGGAGCATTGCGAAGAAATGGGGGTGTTGAGCCCGCAGACTTGCTGCACGGCACGGATGAACCCTGCGTGATGCTCAGCAGGGTGTTTGGGGGTGGCTGCGTGCTGTTATCCTGTAGGGTGTGGGGGTTATCGGGTTATAGGGTTTGGGCTGGGTTTTTGGAGCCGCGTGTAGGTCTGGCTGGGGGTCCTGGTGTGCTCCCCGCTTGCTCTCTTCCCCTCAGCTGAACATTGCCAAAAGCACTTGGCCTGTCCTGACCGGCTTCCAGGAGGGACCCCTCAACTTCCCACCCACCTTCAAGTTCGATGTGGGCACCAACAAATATGACAGCAGGTAGGACAGCGGGGCTGGGAGCAGGAGGCATGGCTGAGGGGTGAGGGGTAGGGGAGGCCATGCCGGGGCAGGCATGGGCTGGGCTGGGGACATCAGGCTGGGGACACAGCTCTTGTGCTGGTGCCAGTGCAGGTCTGTCCCTGCAGCTGCACAGAGCTGTGCGCCACGATGAGCTGCGTCCCCTGCCCCCACGTGCTGTAGTGCCAGGGGGAGGCAGTTTGGGGTGGAGCCCGCTGCCCCCCTGCCAGGCAAGAGATGCCCCCCTCTGTGCCCTGCAGTGCCAAGAAGCGAAAACCAGCCTGGACTGACCGCATCCTCTGGAAGATCAAATCTCCCAGCGTCGGGCTCGGTGCAGGTGGATGCCAGCCCAGCCGGGGCATCCTGTCGGTGAGCCAGCTCTGCTACTGCAGCCACATGGAATACACGGTCAGCGACCACAAGCCGGTAGCTGCTATCTTTGCAGTGCAGGTGAGCGCCTGACGGGGCCGCTGGGCACGGGAGGCCCTGGATGCCCAGTTCTTGCGTGCGGCACGGGGTGGGGTGTGGATTTCTTGCCTTATTTTTGCAAGGCAGCTTCAGTCCTGTGGCTGGGGACGGGGTGGTTGCTGCTCTTGGTGTGTGTTGGAGGGTCCGGTGCCAGATGGGTGCCCTGGGCAGCAGGGGCAGCTCTCTGGCATATGGCCCTTGCCCACCATGTGCACGTTTGTCAGTTTGCTTCCAAGGCAGACAAGCCTCCGGTGGAGATTTACGTGGCTGATGAGTGGAATAGGCCTGAGCAAGCAGTTGTCAAGTACAAGGTGGCTGCTGGCTTCCACCGGAGCTCCTGGGACTGGATAGGCCTCTACCGGGTAGGGGCTTGTGGCTGGAGAGGGTGGGGGGCACTTCACAGCACCAGTGGGTCCCCATCAGCTTGGCCTTAGCCTGTCCTCTCTGCTCTCCTGCTCTGGGGGGGCTCTGTGGATACCAGCAGGCTTTGACCCTGCTGCAGGAGACATGGATCCAGAGGTTTCATCCTCCTCCTCCTGTTCTGTGGGTTCCACGTGGCCCAAAGCTGTTACTGGGGCTGAGTGTGTGCACGTGCAAGGCAGCTGTCGGTGCCCTTGTGCAAGGAGAGCAAATGCCAGGCAAGGGCTGAGGGTGCTGAGTTGGGCAGATGTCCCCCAGCTCACCTCTGTTCTCCCGTGGACATGCAGGTTGGGTTTCGGCATCCTAAAGACTACGTGTCCTACGTCTGGGCCAGGAGCGATGATGGAGAGCGCTTCATCGAGAAGCAGCTGTGTGCACAGGTGAGCGTCTCCAGGAGCCAAGGCCAGCCCTGCAATATGCTGGGTGTGTGTGCCCTACGGCAAGGCACCAGCCCCCACATCAGTGGCTTCCCCTATTGCATTGAAGGCCCTTTTGCCTCACTGTGTGGGCATCAGGGCTCTCAGCTGGGTCTGGAGGTGGTGGGGGACACCCCCGTGCCCAGCCCCGGTGCCCATCAGCTTTCCTTGGCCTGCAGGTGCTGTTCTCAGAGGAGGCACTGCCCAAGGGGAAAGGCGAGTACATCCTCGGGTACTACAGCAACACCTCCAGCAGCATCGCAGGGGTGACGGAGCCCTTCCAGGTGAGCAGGGATGAGGGGTGAGGGTGGTGCTTGGCTGAACAGGGCGTGCTGCTGCGGCGTGCCACAGCCAGCAGCCCTGACGCAAGGCTGCAGATCTCCATGCCCAGGTCAGAGGAGGGCAGCAGCCCCACAGACAGCTCGGGCAGCAGCTCGGAAGAGGAGGATGACAGCACCCTTGTCCTGCTGGCCCCCAAATCGCGCAGCCCCAGCCCAGGCAAGATGAAACGGCACCGGAGCCGAAGCCCTAGCCTGGCCAAATTCCAGGGCCTCATCCTGCGGCCATCAAGCCGGGACAGGGGCACCAGTCGCAGCCCCTCACCCCAGAGCCGCCGAGGCCTCCCTGGGGACATCCCCACCATCCACCTGCCCCAGGAGGAGCCAGGGCACCGCGGAGCCAAAGCCAAGGAAGCGGGGCAGGCGGCTGACAGCCAGGAGGGCAGCTTGGGCTCCTTTTACCAGACTGTGCGGGAGCAGCGCGCCTCCCGCTGCATCTCTGCCGACAACGCCCTGGCCAGGGCCGACCCCAGGAACCTGGGCCTGCTGCCTGCACTGCGCCTGGAGATGATCGACCAGGCTTTGGGCAAACAGAGGGAGAGCTCAGAGCAGGGCCCTCCCTGCCGGAGGGTAAGCCCTACAAGCCCCCCAGGAGCTCCTTATGGCACCTCTGCGAAGGAGGGGAGCAGCCCCTGGGAGCGAGACAGCAGCCATAGATGTGCCACGGGCCACTAATGCAGCAACCCCTTCCCCCGTAGCGCGCTTGCTGTGTGCTTTCCTTTGCCACTTCCCTGCTGAGACGTCCCTCTCCCTTATTTATTGCGGTGACAGGCCTCTGCCCTCCTGCTGCCTGCCTGCCCCTGCTCCCCGCGGCCTGGAGCCGCTGCCCTCCCGGGGCTGCGAGGGGGGCAGAGGGGAGGGGAAGGCTGGTCCAGGATGGGGTTGGCAGGGGAGTATTGGCCAAGGGAAGCCCCTGCGAGGTTCAAAGGTGCGAGTGTTGGGCTGTCAGGCAGGAGGGCAGGCCTGAGGAGGGGCAGGGACAAGCGCTGGAGGCGGTTTTGAACTCCTTTTTGAGCGAGGCCTAGCCCCAGGGCGCAGTGCTGCTGTGGGTACCCCAGAGAGCGGAGCGTGCTTCTTTCCTGCCACTACCACTGTGCCTCAGGCTTGGACGTAGCGTGAGCAACACAATAAAACCATCCTGCCTGCCCCAGATGCTCTGTGCTTACTGCAGCGGAGGAACAGCCCCAGAAAACAGGGGCCGCCGCGGCAGGCACGGCCCTGGCCCAGCACCACACACCATGCAGAGACCACCCTTTATTTGTCTCGTGCCGCACACAGGGACTGACCCTCCCCAGCTCTGTGCCTGGCTGTTGCCCTTCACCTCCAGAGCCCAGCCCGCCCTGCCCCAGCAGTTTGAGGAGGGGGCCAGGCTCACCCCAGATCCCTCAGGCCCCTCTCCTTTCCCCCCCGCCCAGCCCCTGCCTGAGGCTCATACGCCCAGAGCATTCTCCCTGCCCCCTGGCACAAAAGGGAAGGCTGATGGTGGGTTTCCCCTTACCCAAGGGCTCCCCTTCCTTTCCCCTCGCTTTGATGCTCACAGCTGGTGCCACAGCTCCTCAGGAGAGGGGTAGCTGAGCCTTCTTAGCCCCTCTGCTTGCCCTCCTTCCAGCTGTGCCCCCCCCGCCCCAATTCCACGTAGTCATGCCAGCAGCCATGCTTGGTGCCATCCTTTCTCTCAAGGACCAGACATTAAGCAGCTCCACTCAGTGCCCGCTGCACAGCACGTCTTCCTTCCCACGCGAGGCATGCCCATGCTGCTCAGGCGTCACGGGGGGGCTGCACGATGCTGTGCACACAGCTTCTGCTCCAAAGCCAGTTGCCGGCACTGCTTGTAAAGGGTGCTGCCGCTGCCCCGTGTCTTCCAGTCTTGATGCTTGACCTTCTTGGAGGTTATGCGAGGAGCACCCCAGTGCTTCAGGATGTTGCTGAGATGCCGTGCAGGTGCTACTAGCACAGCCCGGGTGGCTGAGGTGCAGCTGCTGGAGGAGTAGGACAAGGAGTGACAAAGCAGCACTGGAGGCTGTAGCACTTGACAGCCTCTGCCTTCCACCCCACTCCTGCCCCTGGCACAGAAAAATGGGACAAATGCTTGTGACGACTGCCTCGCACCAAACAGCCAAACCTGCATGACAGCACCCAGCCCCGGGGCATCCATCCCACCTTCCCAGGCAGGTTAGGAATCCCCAAGCACACCACATTTTCCCTTGCCCCTCTGCACTTACTTGTGCTGTGGCTCCTTGCCCAGGCTGCAGTTGGTGAGTGGCTCCAACACAAAGCAAGCTGCAGCAACGTGGTCAGCCAAGACTGCTGCCTGCACCTCATGGAAACCCTTCGCCCTGCGCAGGGACCGTGCCAGTCTGTGGGCACAGAGAGGTGGCAGTCAGCAGCTGCTGGCTGGAGTGGGCATCGCACTAGGTCCCACATCTTTCAACCCCAAACCATCTGTTTTTGCCCCGTGATGGCAGATGGAAGCCCTGCCATCCTCCTGGGGCACGTCCCAGTCCCAGACAGTGCTTGCTCAAGGGGCCAGGGCTTAGCACACACATGAGCTTGGACACAAACCTGCGGGTGCAGTTGCAGTGGAAGAGCGTCCGGTTGTCTGCATTATGCAGCTGGTACTTCATCTCATGGGGTGCAATCTGGTGCTCACACTTATCCAGCCGCTTGTAGCACCTGCACATCTTCCCCGGGCCTGAGGAGAGCGAGCACAGCCAGAGTGACCAAACCAAACCCGCTCAGTCCCCAGGAAAGCCCCACTCCTACACGCGCTGCCCCGAGTCCCCACTCACTCTGCTGCCTGTGTCCATCCCCAGGAGGCGCAGGGACAGCCTCACAGGGCTCTGTAACGAGGCTGGATGCAATGCTGCTGTCTTCATGGCGAGCCTTAAGGGTGGGCTGCGGCGAGGCCCCAGGCCCCTGCTGTCCTCCAGCGAGCTCCTGTCCCGACGTGGCCACCGCTGTTGGCAGGCCTAGCTCCAGCTCACCCCAAGGTGCTGCGTGCCCAACAGTGGGCTCAGCCTCATCCCTGGCAGACACAGGGGACGAGCCACCCATGTCCTGCACCTGCTGGGTTGTCACAGGCCTCCGCGCACGGCGGAGCCCAGGACCACGTCCCAGCCCCTGCCGCGGGCGCTTCCGACGCGCTCCTGAGGGCTTCCTTCCCCAGTCGCTGTCACTGCCATCCGCGGGCAGCCCGTGGCCGTACTGCTTCTGCTGCACCATCCTGGCCAGGGGCACCACGCCGTAGCGTTCACACCTTAGAGAAAGGTGAGGGGGGGGGACACCGGGCAGCGTCAGGCCCCCGCCGGCACAGCCCCAGGGACTGCGGAGAGAGAGGGGAGCGGGGACACGCGGGGACACTCACCCGCCCCACCAGTGCCACTGCACGCACTCCTCGCTGTCCTCCAGCACGAAGCACGGCACCTCCAGCAGGTTGAAGAAGGTGACGCCGATGATGTTGGAGATGGTGTCGTTGAGGGCCAGCAGGCACCGCCGGAACCTGCGGGCGGGCAGGGGGTGAGCGGAGCGGCCCCGACAGCCCCGACAACCCCGACGGGGTCCCGGCACGACCCCGGAGAGGCCCCGGCGCACCTGGCGTCGCAGTCGCAGTGGGACACGGTGTGCAGGCGGTAGTTGCGGATGCCGTAGTTGAACTGCAGCGCCGTGATCTGCGCCTCGCACTGGTCGTGCTCGCGGCAGCACCGGTCGGGGCCGCGGAAGACACCTGCGGGCGGCGGCACCGCTCAGCGCCCGGCGGCCACCGCCCGATCCCGATCCCGACCCCAACCCCGACGGGGCCGTCCCCACTCCCGTACCCAGCTCGGTGGCGTTCCCGGCCGAGTCCCCGGCTCCGCACCACAACGTGCCGGGCACCGTCCAACCCCTCCGGCGGCGGCGGCGGCGCTCGCCCCGCGGCTCGGGGTCGGTGCAGGCGGCTCGGCGCCTCCAGAGCGCGCCCAGCTCCCTGCGCAGCGCGGCCCCGGGGGCGCCGGGGGGGCGGCGAGCGCAGGCGGCGCGGAAAGCGCGCACCAGGCGGGGGTCGCGGCGCGCCCAGCAAGCGAGGAGGCGCCCGCGCCCGGCCCAGGAGCTCTCCACCAGCGCGGGGGGCCCCGGTCCGAGGCTGAGGAAGGCGACGTAGCGAGCGCCACCCGCACCCGTGCCCGGCGCCGCCGCCACCCGCTGCGCGCACACTGCGCCGCCGGGCCAGGCGCGCGCACTCGCCAGCACCGCCGCGCACGCCAGCGCCGTGCGCGCCCACATCCCGCGGGCCGAGCGCGCGCGCCCCGCGCCGCCCGCTTTAAAGCCCACGGGCGGCGGTGGGGAGGAGGTTGGCCCGCACCGCCCCGTCCCGCCCCGGGGGAGAGGCCGGGGGAGCCGCCGGTGCCCCTTCCCCTGTCCCTTCCCCTGCCCCTGCCCCTGCCCCTGCCCCTCGGGCCAGCCCCGGGCACTTGGTCCCGTTCCCGTCCCCTCCCCGCAGGAGTCTGTGCGCACCGACGGGGTGTCCCCCCCCTCCCCAGCCTGCTGTCCGTGTTATCGTTATCCCGGTGCCGGCAGCCTGTCCAGCCGTGTGGGTTGTTCCAGGCCTTGCAGCATCCTTGTGCTCACCCCAGTGATTCCCCCCCCTCCCCTGCCTGCCGGGGGGAGCCCAGCCGGGACGCAGCCCCCCGGGTGCTGGCCGTGCTCTGCCCGGGTGATGGCCTTGGCCGTGAGGACACCTCGCTGGCTGCGGCTCAGCCACTGCCTGCTGGAGGAGGCTGTAGTGAGGTGGGGGTTGGTCTGTTCTCCCATGTGCCTGGTGACAGAATGAGGGGGAATGGGCTAGAGTTGTACCAGAGGAGGTTTAGGTTGGATATTAGGAAGAACTTCTTTACTGAAAGGGTTGTGAGGTATTGGGATGGGCTGCCCAGGGAAGTGGTGGAGTCACCATCCCTGGAGGTCTTTAAAAGACACTTAGATGTAGAGCTCAGTGATATGGTTTAGTGCAGGACTGGTTAGTGTGAGGTCAGAGGTTGGATGGGGTGATCTGGGAGGTCTCTTCCAACCTCGACAATTCTGTGATTCTGTGAAAGGGCTTGGCAGCAGAGCTGTGGCTTATCGCATCAGGATTTCCCTAACAGTGTGCACAGAGGCCAATGGCACAGGCGAGTGCAGAGTCCGCTCTGCAGCTGTGACATGGCTGCCTCGCGCCGCCCTTGACATCGCCTGAGGTGTCGCAAAGGTCTCCCAGCTGCCATGTCACCTGGCAGAATCACCTCCGTGGTCCTGTGGGGGTACCACAGCTCCCCAAGGAAAACACATTGTGTTTTTCTTAGGAGAAACTGGCACAGAAAGGGGCTCTGGTGAAAGACTCAGCCTCCCCTAGCATCGTCCCCCAGCCCACCTGGCCCCGCAGAGCCCTCCTGCTGCAGCTCTGCTGTGCCACGCCATGCCCGACCCCCTGCACCCCATAAACCCACTCTGCCCCACACCCAGGCTGTGCTCGCAGCCCCGTGGTGCCTGGCAGGAGAGCCCCACACTGGCAGCATGGAGCAGCAGCCTTGGCCACGGCGTACGAGCCCGTCAGGGACTCCGCCGAGCCGTGCCTCAGTTTGGGTTTGTCTGGAAGATAACGGGGGATAAGAAGGACGCACAGTGCTCTGGCCTTCACCCCCTGCCCCCAGCCAGTGGGGCTGCGGGGTTGGCCCCATGCGGAGTAACCGAGCTGCCTGAGCAGGCGATTGAGACCCCGCTGGTGCTGGGCTGAGGCTGGGGCTGGGGCTGGGGTGCGGACTGAGCCCTGGCCACCCGCCTCGTCTGGCAGCACCACCCGCACCCAGCTCTGCTGACGTGGCCCAAGGCTGCAGCCAAAGCTGGCACGGAGCCGAGACACCCGAGTGCTCGCCCTGCCTGTGCTGACAGCCCTGCTGTCAGTGGCCAGTCCTGGGATGGAGTGCAGGGACAGGGTGAGGGAGTGATTTGTCCCCCCTGCTAGCATGCCAGGTTCTGTTTTGGGGCTCCCCGTTATGAGAAAGGCATCACCGCGCTGGAGCCAGGCCAGTGGAGACCCCTGAGGTGGTTGTAATGGGAGCAGAGTGTGAGGGCATGCCGGGGGAGCGGGACCTCATCTTCCCCACCCTCAGGTTGCAGTGGGGCTCAGTCCTTCTCCAAGGGCACCGTGGGCATCAGGGAGATGCCTCCCGTGGGATGATGTGCTGGATGCCCGGGCTGCACAGGTGGCCGGGTGCCCACAGCCATCAGACCCGGGGCCTCAGCTGTGTCCTGGAGCCAGTGCATCCCCTGGCTGCCCCTGCGTCCAGCCTTGCCCTTTGCCCTGGCGAGCCAGCAGAGCCCTGGCCTGCGAGCGTGCGTGCTGTGCATGCTGCCTGCCATGCTCTGCCTGTCCCTGCAGGAGAGGCACCCGTGGTCATGATTTGTTCTCCTCACTCTGGAGCTGGGGCTGTTCTGCTCGGAGCAGATCTTTTGTGTCCCTGTCTTGTGCCCCCTGTGCTCCGGGGCTTGCTCTCTCTGTTTTTTCTGCCCGTTTGCATGCTCAGCCACCTCCTCTCTCCTGCCCCGCCAGCTCCTCAGGGTGCCCTTGAAATCCCACATGTGGAAGGGCAGGAATGAGCCCTTGGCAGCCCAGAGCATGTGAAGAGCAGACTCTGAAGGAAAGGGACATTCCTCCTGGACACATAACCTTTCTAATATAGTTTTACAGGAGAAAGAATTAAAAAGGGGAAGTTAGCTCCTCTCCAAAACTTTCCAAACTCTCCGTGCAGAAGCTGGGCTGGGTCCATCAGCTATTTTCGGTGCAATTCTTGGCTAGGGGATGGTGTGGCTTTGGATTTAGGCTCCCCAGTCATCTGCAGGTCCTGCGGCTCAGGGGCACCTGGGGACAGTGACACCTTCTGTCTGTCCCGCAGACCCTCAGCCCCTGGCACAGGGCCACGCTGAGCACAGACCTCCTCCAGGCTTTCCCCGAGGTTCTGGTGCTGCCCTGTAACTCCCTTCCCACACCACAGCCTGTTCTCAGTAACCTTGCTTGGGACAGGGACGGGGTGAGCTCCACCCCAGCCAGGCTCGGTGCTGAGCTTCTCGAGCAGCTCCCAGCCACAGTCCCTGATAAACTGCTGTGCCTGAGAGGAAATAGAGAAAGCCCCAAGGAGTGGGGAAAAGGAAGAGGAAAGCTCCCTAAAAACCTCCCCAAGACCCCTGGGTTCCCTGTAAGAGGTCAAATACTGATGCTGGGAGAAAGTTCCCTTTATCTTCTGCTTTCCCTTAACCCCTAGGCAAATCTCATTGCCTGGGAGGTGCCTGGTTTTACCACCCTAGTGAGTACCTTCCTTTAATTTATGGGAATACTTAGCAGGAATCAGACTTGCAAGGAGGAGCCGGTGCCTTCCTGACATGTATCACCCCACTTCCAGGTGAAGGTGGGGTGAGGTTGAGTCAGCAGGGCTTGGGGTGAACAACAGCGTGAGAAACTGTGGCTCGGAAACAGGGTCTGGCTTGTCAGCATGGGTCAAAACTCAGCAGAAATTATTTGGGGATGACAAGCCTGAGAGCAGAAAAGGCTGTGAGGCTGGGGTGTTTCTGCATCTCTGGAAAACAGATTCTCCTTAATTGCCATGTGAAAGATAAAGTACACGCCGGTATTTTCATCCCTCTGGAAGGTGCAAAGACAGCTGGAGAGATAAAAAAAAAAATTCCCACGTGCTTAGGGTTTGCTTAATGTTATGTATGTTGTCTCTGACTTACACAACGGTTGCTGATGTGGATTTTCGGGAGCTTCCAGCAGGAAGTGCTGTATCGCACCAGGTGAATCATTAATCGGCAGGGGAAGGCTGGCAGGTCGCAGCGCGCATGTCTGCATTGCTCCCAGCTTGGGCAGAGTCCGGGCCGTGCAGACAGCTCCGTGCAGATCACAGCAGCACCGTGGCTCCTTTTGGTGCCAGGGCTGTGGCACGGCCACCCTGGACCACAGCCGTCTGTGTCTCGTCTGCATTGTTCTACAGCTCAGCAGCAGGGTAGGAGTGCAGAAGAAGCCTAAAAGCTCGAGGTTTCCTCCTTGAACCCTGCACAGCTACTGATAAAGCCAGTTCCCACGGTTTTGGCTATGGGAGAAGGCAAATTCAGTCAGCCTTGAGATTTCTCCTTCCTGGCCTGCAAAAGGTTAGCGTGCTGTACCCAGGCCCAGGGTTTTTCCTGCCTCTGTCTGATGGAGGTGGCTGCTGCAGTTCCCTTGCTGAATTCTCCTTGCCTGCTATAATTAGGTCTGGAGATCGGTGGTGACCCCCTCAGCCTGGTCTCACCCCTCTCTGGCACCCAGCCCCGCAGGATGCTTGACCCACAGTGCCCGTGTAGACAGGGAGAAGAGCGGTCAGGCAATCTAGGAACAGGATTCAACAAGAAGAGAGGACAGGCTGCACCTGGTAATCCTCTGCCATCAGCCAACGCCAGGCTGGTGGCTCAGCCCCACCACAGAGACAAAAGAAAAGACATTGCAGGTATTTACCAGTGGCAGGATCAGGCTGGCAGAGTTCGAGGGTGTTAAAGGGTGTCAAAGGTAACATAAGGGCAGCGACACAGAGCAGTAAGTCTTGTTGTGAGCCCTGGGGCCCAGGGATGAGGTGACTGTGTTGACAAAAGGGGTTGAGCAAAGGGGATTGGGCTTGGGAGCTTCTTTGTCCCCATCTGAAGGTGGTGTCCCATGGACTTCATCAGGGTGGTGGCTCTGCAGCAGCACTAAGGTGTCATGAGGGTGAACCTGGCCTAGGAAAGCACTGTGTTAATTAGCAAATCCATCCAAACTGCTATTGAGGGAAGAAAGGATCCTGAAGAAAGAATAAATGCAGGTCGGATGATGACTTGTTTATATCTCAGATAGTCACAGCACCTCCAAGAGCCTTTCCAAGCAAGCAGTGCTGCGTACAAGGTAGAAGCCCCCCCAGATTACACAATAAATCAAAGTCCCTGAGTGTCTGCTGCAACCTTGGCACAGGACAGGGAGCCAGAGGGACCAGGGACACAGCCGGTGTCTTGGTCCTGCCACAGCAGCAGAACGTAGGGTAGATGGGACTCTCCTCCCACTGATATTGGTGGAAGAGCTGAAGACTTGATGGCCTTCAGAGAGCAGGAAAATCCATTCTCAGCATGGGAGACCGCCTCAAATCTCCCTCTCCAGAGCCAGCAGCTGTGTCCATACGAAACAGGAGGTGGGGTTGTTGGTTGTTCAAGGAGGTAACGTTGTCATTGTCCTCTTCCAGTGCTTTGGAGCACCCACTGGTCTCATGCACAGCCTGGG